CATTGAGTGGACCAACGGTTGGAAAGAGTTCATTGTCAACAGTGTCAGTTGCTACAGGGGATGAGGATAAGGTCATCAGATTTGACAAATTAAAACTGACTTGCAGAGGGCAGTCTCGGAGCAGTGGTGAAGCAATTCATTGGACAGAGAATTAAAGGCGGGCTCCTAGAGAGGAGCCCTTATTCTCTCAAGAGGCTTACCAGAGATGGGAAAAGATTATTTCAAGGGAAGGTGGTCTAAGAAAAAATTTCTTAGTATGAGAAAGGAAAGAGGTCACTAGCTTTATTGACAGGATATGTACAGTAAGGAGAACGTAATCATTGTATTACTGTTACCGAACAAGAGGAGGTCCGAGGGAGGGGCAATACAATATTTGGCCCACCTAGGGATGCCCAAAACTGCTATACAACAGGGGCCCCTCCCAAAAACAAAATACTGATATCTACTGGGCCCTTCTGTCCGCCGCCAATTGGAAAGACATCTCTTAATGCCAGAGATTTGTGAAAAGGAAACAAAATGTTTATTTAATGCTATTCAGGCCTAACGCCACTACTAAAATATCAAAGTCCTTTATATATACACCTACACCCACACAGCGCTCCCTTCTCCCACTGTCCCAACTCCGGGTACCGTAAATCAGGAAAAGAGCACACGTCCCTTTTTCAGGCCGCTGGTGCCATCAGCTGTGTCACTGTGCAGGATCTCGAGTTAATCCAAAGTACCGTGGTACCCTCTCATGGTCCACTGGCAAGAGTCCTTTGTACCCAGTTCCAGTCAAAGTCTCTGTTGCTTTTCAGGCCACACGGCCAAAGGGGGCACCCCAAAGCCGCGTGGGCCTCTTCTACCAAAGCTGCAGGAGTCCGCACTCCACTAAAAGCATGTGGCTTTCTTCTTCACCTGGCTGCAGGGATCTCCATTCTGGCAAAGCTGCGTGGTTCTTCCCTTTCACCTGGGAAAGAGGGGGTCCGCACCCTGCCAAAACCACGTGGCTCCCTCTTTCACCTCACCAACAGGGGGGTCCTCACTCTGCTGAAACCGCGTGGCTCTCTCTCCCAGGCCTTCCCACTCAGGAGCGCAGCCCCTCGTTACATCCTGAGTCCAAACCCTTCTCACTCAGGAGCGCAGCCCTTCGTTACATCCTGAGTCCAAGCCCTTCTCACTCAGGAGTGCAGCCCTTAGTTCCCATCCTGAGTCCTCTTGTTCCATCCTCAGTCCCTGCTAGTTCCATCTTGAGTCCCCTGCTCACTACCTTCTCCCTTCTCAGGAGCGTCGACCCTAGTTACATTCTCCTGAGTCCCAGTCTACTCACTCAGGAGAGCAGCCTCTCAGTTTCCATCTTGAGTCCTCCCAGTTCCATCCTGAGTCCAAGCCTTCTCACTCAGGAGTCCAGACTTTAGTTCCCATCTTGAGTTCCCCAAGTTCCATCCTCAGTCCCTCTTCCTAGGCCCCAAACTTGGCCACAGTTATTTAACATATCTATGGAACCAGTTAAAGGTTATAGATATATTAAATAACGATTCCAGAGGTTAGCTCCAAAACTGTTGCTATGCAAAATAGCTCTCAATGGCCTGGCTCCATTCATCCCTTCCCCCTGGGAGGGGGGGTGAGGACATCTTATATGTCTCTCCAATATTTCTATACACTTTGAATTCTGGACACCTTTCTAAATCTTTTTTTTGGGGGGGCCCCCCCGGCTGCACCCTGTATCATTACCGGCCGGCACCCAACTTCCTCCTAGGGAGAGAACTGACTTTGTTTAGGAAAATACAGGGTGTTTTGGATTTGAAAGATGATACTCCAAGCATGATATAAGAAGACACAGCAAAATATGGAAAAAAACCAGACTGCTCTGTGTAAGAAATGAACAGGAATTTGGGGTATGGGATGAACAGAAAGAGAGAAGTGGAAGGATGATAGACGAGAAAGGAGGGAGTGGACAGGAAACCCCATATGGGTGGGGGAGGATTGAAGGGCATATAAGAATAGCAGAGTGATGTCAGTCAGATATGGGTGTGTGGCCTGCCTGTCTCTGTCCCCTCACACTTCAGTAAAAGCCTGTTGCACCCACAGTCTGAAAGCTGGAGTATTGTGGGGAATGGAAGAATCAAGGTGGGGTCCAATTTTAGTTTGTGTGGAGTGGAAAGAGGATAACTATCTTTAGATAACAAAATGAGTCCCAAACTGAAAAAAATTCAGAGGTTCTCAGGAGAAGCCTAAATGCCTCCTTGGAGAACTATTGGAAAGAATGTGTTTTCTTTGACAAGTGGGGTTGGTGGTATGAGCCAATTTCATTTGAACCTCATCAGAGATTATGCATCAAGGTTTATGTATACCCTGGACAAGATACGGTATGCTAAAGACTTTAATAGTTGTCATCTTACTTATTTTTCAGAATGACACTAAAAGGTAAATATTAGAGTATTAGCCCATATTTTCAGATGAGCAAAGTGTGACTCAGAGAGGTTAAGTGAATTGTCCAAGATCACACAGCTTGCATTACTAAAGAAATGTTTCAAACTCAGATTTTTCCGACTCTGATGCTCTTTTTATTTTACCAAACTGACTGTACTTGTGGACTGGGCTGAGGGGAGGAAGCAGAAAGATTTGAAATGTTAATAGATTGAACAAAAGGAGACAGGAAAAGAGAGAGAGAACAAGAGTGGGAGGAGGTATTTGATGAAGCAAAGTGATTTCCCTATCCCTTCTCTACTCCTACCTTCCTTCCATCTGCTTGGGAGATTCTGAGCCTGGCACCATGCTTCTGGGCAAAAAATGAGAGCAATTAAGGCCTCTTCCTCTCTGTTTAATTTTGGGTACCTATCCCCTTTATAGGGTAGTTACATTCTATTTGGCTAAGCAAATATGAGCAATGTTAGTTCTATAATTGGGCCTACCACCCTGGGTACTTGATAAGCATTAGGTACCAAACAATGTTATTCTAACTGAAATAGCCTCTCCTTAAAGCTATCAGTGCCCATGTGTAGGCCCTTAGGCCTTTACATGCTTCAAATCAGCTTCAACTGTGCACTTGGTATTTCACAGCAGGAACCCAGGCTCCCTTAGCACTTTGCTTTTGCCAAAGTTTACTCTTGGTTATGCTCTGGCTTATTGATGCTAAAATGATGATTTCTCTAACATGAGAAACCAAGCCTCGATTCATAAATGTGCTGCTTCTTGGTCTTTGTTATAGTTTTGAGGCCCATAGTGATCATTGATGCTATGTTTGCATTGTTTGTAAATGTCTGGGAAATGTCAACAAGGTATGCCGGATAGAATACTGGGCTATAAGCTGAAAGAAACCTGGCTGGATGTCCAGATTCCACTAAGGAGCTAGTCAAGGCATTTACTTTCTCTAGATCTCGGTTTTTCCATACATAGTGCAGGAAGTTTGGGCTATATCAGGGAGCACAGACATGCTGCTGTCCCCTTCTGAGCACATGGCAGTCATGACTAGTGGATCTCTTGCCTGTCATGGCAGACCTCCAGGAAGCCATTATTAATAGATGGATTTAACATCAGGAGTTCACATCGCTTTTTCCCATGCAGAGAAGACCCCCCTGGATGACTGGGCTCATTCTCCACCTTCAGGAAGGGCTTGCATCAAACTTGTTCCAGACATATTTTACCCAGGTTTGTATCATCTTCTCTAATAGCTTTTATGGACCTTTTACAGGCTTCCTGTTGGAAAATTTTGGGGGTTTAATCTTAAAAACTCTCATGTTAAAATGTTAGTCTTTGTCTCTATTTTTTTCCTTCGGTAGGATAGAATAATATATATTAGATTTTATAATTTAAGATAGAGAATGGCAATCACCAACTAATTCTTATTAACAAGAGCCTACATTTATTGAGGGCTAAGTCACTGTATTGGGTGCCAAGGCTGACCTTACTGTTGATGTATCTAATGGACTTTCTTATTGCTCATTTCTGTTGGCCACCTCCTACAATGGGTCTACTGCCTTTGCCTCTATACCTGAATTGTTGAGAATACTAAGGAGAAATTCCATAACCAAGTGGCACCCTGAGCTCTGTAGCACAGCTGGCCAATTATTTTGTCATTAGGGAGTACTCACTCTTCCCCCTCCCAACTTCTCAGCCCCTTCTCTTTTCTTAACCTCTAAGCAAATGTGTTCACCTATTACTTCATTTAACGAATTGAAGTGATAGAGCACGGTCTCTCATCCTCATCATTTGGATCTATGCACCTCTTCCCTGGTCCATTCCCGCCATCAGGAAGGCTCATCCTTCCTGTTCCTGGCTCCGTCTCCGCCATACCTTGATCTCACCCTCTTCCACCAACCAGGGACCTCATTTCTTTGTTCTTTCTTTCTCCTCCACTGCCTTCTTTCTATTTGTTCCTTCTCTTTATCCTTTAAATTAACTCAGATTTCCCAAATCCTGAACAATTCTTTCTTGATCCTGGGTTTTTTGTATTTTTCTTTTCCTATCTGGACAAGTTGCTTAGGAGATTAATCTACTCTGCCCATTTTCAAAACTCTCATTTACTCCATTCATTGGGACCTGGTTTACTTCCCTCCCTTCCCCTATCCCATGACCTCATTGAACTGTTCTGTCAAAGGTCACTGAAGGACCACATATTATTAAACCAGGGAACCCCTTTATCTTCCAGATCTTTTTCTGGACTTCTCTGTGTCATTAGAGTGGTGTAATCATCACTCTCTCCTTCTGAAACTCTCTGCTCCCTTATTTTTTAAAAAAATCCTCACCTGAAGATATGTTTATTGATTTTAGAGAGAAAGGCTGTTGTGGGGAGAGGGAGGAGAAAGAGAGAGGGACAGAGAAAGAAAGGGGAACATCCATGTGAGATAGAAACATCAATCACTTGTCTCCTGTATGCACTCCGACCAGAGATGGAACCTGCAACCTAGGTATGTGCACTGATCAGGAATGGAACCCGCAATGTCTTGGTGTATAAGACAATGCTCTAACCAACTAAACCACCTGGTCAGCATATCCCTGACTTAAACATTTTTTTTTCCTTCAGGAGAGCATGAACACGGTCCCGTACTACCACAAATTATGCAGTTGTTTTTCCCACATTTGGGGAAATCACAGGGGTCAGCATATCCAGAGTGCAATGCATAAACCTCACCCTGGGAAAACCATTTGCATGATCATGGTACCTCCCCTTCCAGCTAAAAATTTTTATCATTTTTATTGTTATTCTATTACAGTTGTCCCAATATCCCCCCTTTGCCCTCTTCTGCCCATCTCAACCCCAACTCCCACATTTAGTCCCCACACTTTTGTCTCTATCTGTGGGTCATTCATGCATCTGGATTCTCATCCTACTTCTTGGATATGTTTTTCCATGGACAACTTTCCAGCTCCCCTTTTCTGCCCACCATTTAAAGGTAGGTATTGTGTAGGCCTCCTCTCTTCCACACAGCCTGCCCCCCCCCCGGGCTAATATCATCACCTCCCATGGTCTTATCCTCCCATGGATGCATCTTTATGTGGATAGTTCTCCAGCTCTAACCTTTTAGCTCAGCTTCTGGTTCATGCATCCAAAGGACTTCTGCTCATCTTCATTTGCATGTCCCACAGCATTTCTGAGTCAGCAAGTGTAAAGCTTGAGGGAGCATCCCTCAGTTTCCCCTTACCTTCAGGGCCCCCGCCTCCAGCGTTTTCTGCGTGGTTAACGTCACTCATATGCACTCTGGCCATGTAGCAGGGAAACTTTTCTCCTTCATCTCATGTACCCTTCACTTTCAAACAGTTGCTGAAACTGTCTTAATTTTTACCTCAAATATTTCTCAAATTTGATGTTTCCTTCTTGTCCCTAACTCTTACCTAGAACTTGAAACCCTCCTAATTAGTCACCTGGCCTCTAGCATTAACATGCTCAAATCCCTTCCTAAATCCTAGGTATCCAGTCTGGCCTTTAAAACATTAATCTGAGTATGCCTCTTGCCTGCTTAAAAATTTCCCATAAATATAGTTGCTTATAGGATAAAGAACAATTGCCCTACTGTGTTTGGTGGAAGAGCGTGGAGTCTAAGTGTGGACACTGGAGCCCCACTGTCTTCTCAGGTTTAAATCCCAACTTCATCACCGCTCATTTTGGGAAACTTTCTAATCAAAGTGTGGCTTAGTTATATTTTGTGTAAAATGAGTTGGATTTGGATTTATTTTAAGATGAAATGCAACAGTACACACAAAGTGCTTTACACTACGCCAGACATTTTTGGTAGTAGTTTCATTACTGCTATTTCTCCTACTATTTTTGTTGTTGTTGTTGTTGCTAAACCTCTTTATTAAAGTACATGGAGAAGAGTACATACATTTTGAGTGTATACAGCTGGCTGAATTTTCACAATAGTATCCAGACCCCACATCAAAAAACACAGCTTTAGCCCCATCTGAGAAACTCTGCTTTGTTTCTTTTTTTATAATTGTACTTTCACTGTTTACACTCTTATGGACGTCCCCTTTTCCCCTCTGTGTCCGCCTCTATCCAGCCCTTGCCGCACCTCCCCTCAGGCCTTTACCGCACTGTTGTCTGTGTCTATGGGTTATGCACATCCATTCTTCCATTCATCTCGTGACCTTCTACTACTGTTATTATTACCTCTTTGTTCGTGTGCCACTTTTCTAGAATACTATCCCGACCATCCCCTTCACCCATCTTCTACTCCTGTTCCCTTCCTCTCTTTCTCCTTCTGTCATACCATGACATATACCACCCCCCCCAACAAATTCAACGGACTCAGAGCTTTGCCTTCGCCAACTCCCAGTTGTCACCAAACCTGTTTCAAATCTGAAACTGGCCGAGAAGGTCCTTCTGTGCATTCTTATCACACTCTGGGCCTAAGTGCAATACAGCCTATCACTCAGTAATCAACACATCAGTTTATGTATGACCCTGTTAAACTGGGAGTAATCAGAGAAGAGAGACTAGCATAAGTCCTGGTATTGAGATGCTGTCCAATAAGTATCAAAAGAATCAATGAACGCATTGCAAAACATGTCTATACTTCCTTAATATTGAGAAACCTCGTTTGTTCTTTTCTCTACATTTGCTCTGGATGAAGGTCTCTGTCTTCACCACTGTCCCCCAGGTCTCAGCAAAAGAAATTGCCAATGGCATCTCTTTCAACACCACTGGAGGGTTAAGAATGGCAGCCATGGATACCCTTCTTTCTTTAAGACCTTGAGGTGCCCTATACACTTTTGTGAGCAAACCCCCAAATTTTCCCATGAATGAGGGATCCTGCTCATTCTGAGTAGAAGTTGGATACTGATGGGTTAACTATATTCCAAAAAATAACAAGCTCAGGCCCTTTGAAATGTTTATATTTTGCTACTAATCATTAAAAAATATTAAGCTGTCCCTGTCACTCCAGCCAATCCTCTGCTCTCATTAAATGTGCAAGGCCAGCATCCAATAAGAATTGGCCTTCAGTTTTATAAGAAAAGGGTAGATCCAGAGGCTGAGAGGAGCTAATCACTTTTGATTAGTTAGTCTCAGACTTCACTGAGTTTCGCTGGGTCTAGATTATCTGAATCTTTATTAAGGGAGCTGGAATTGGCAGCAACTATGGCAGCAGTAACATTTGTGTGAGAGTGCATTTAAACAGCGGCAGCCCCACGAGCATGTTGATGTGTTCATGGATGGCTGTGCCCATGTGCTGTCCCTTCTGCCTCTGGGTGGGGGATGTGGCCTGGCCATGTGCCTTGGTAGGAGAGAGAGAGAGATAAAGTGTTCCAAGGTGTGGGCTCTCACAGGGCCAGGGACAGCACCTCAACCTCCACTTTTCTCTTCCAGCCCAACCCCTGGGAGGCTTGCCTGCCTGAAGGTAATTTTATTTAATCTTGGCAATCTTCCAGGATAGACTTAAGTAAACAAGGATCAGGCCACTCACAACCTTAATTAGGCTACACATAAATAATGGATTGCTGGATTAGCGGAGAACATACAGGAGGGATGTGAGGGCAATAACACCCACTTTCCTTAAGTTGTCCCTTCCTTCAAGGAGCTCCAGTTTCTCCAGGCAGATGTCTGCATCAGGGGCCATGGAGACATTTCGGCAGTCCATTTCTCATTCATGTATTCATTTGTTTATTCATTTATTTATAATTTATTTATTGATTGCACAAATTCTTACTAACCCCTTGAGAAAACAAAACATGGAACTAGATGTGGTGGGGGGAGGCAAAGATAAAACCAACAAGAATTCTTTCTTAATTGCTCACAGTTACAAAATGGGCTTATAACTATAAGTGGAAATTGACCAGAGTTTCCTGGTAGAGCACAGGGGTAGATTGTCTTTTCCAAGGATGATCACTACAAAATCTCCCATTTTATATGCTCTTCTTATGATGTGACCTTGACACTCCTCCCATCCAGTGGTGGAGTCTATGAACCTGACAGTCTGTTTAACTTGCACAGAACTTTGTGGCTGCCTTCACCCATAAGAGTACAGTAGAAGTGCTGCTATGTGACTTCCAAGGCTAGGTTAAAAGACCATGCATATTGCTCCTTAGGCATGCTTGCTCTTAAATGTTGATCACCATATCGTGAGAAAGCTCAAATCAGCCCAGGCCACGTGGCTCCAGTCCACAGTTGAGGTGAGGTCCAGGTTGACAGCCAGCATTAACTACCAGACATGAGAATGAAGGTGCTTCCACATGATTCCTGCCACAGGTATTGAGTCTCTCCAGTCTTTGAGACTTCCCAGCTAAGGCCCAGACATTGTGAAGCAAACAACCATCCTTGTTCTGCCCTTCTAGATTCCTAACTCACAGAATCTGTGAGTTTAATAAAAGGGTCATTTGAAGTTGCTAAATTAGGAGATTATTTGTTACAGAGCAACAGTGACTGCAAGAAGCTCTGTGGGAGAAAACTTGGAGTCTTGGAAATTTGTTTCCCTTACTCAATGATCAACAGTTAGCAAGTCCAAATTTTGAGAAAATCTCCTTTGTATCTCTTTTCTCCTCTTAATTTCTATCAATGTTGCTCTTCTTAGCCAATGCTAACTCTTGGCATGGTGTTCCTGTCTCCGGCATCATTCTTCCCACTGCCTCCTACGTAGTGCTCACATCAGAGCATTCCACCCCTGGCCCTCAGTTCATACCTCTGAACTTGGAGTAGTACACTGTGAGAGACTTGGCAGTGTGTTGAGGGTGGGAGAAACCACAAGATGAATATGGCAAGGCCTTATTTTACTCACTAGGAAGTAATTACAACTGTTATTTTTATATTAAAAGAAACATAGATAAATTAAAACATAAAATCAAAATTGGCAAGAATTTTAAAGATAGAACCAAGATTTCAAGGGCATTTCTCTTGCAACAAGAATGTCCTAGAACTGCTAGTGGTATGGCTTTATTCACTCCCCTCTGCTGTTTGCTATATGGGAAAAGTTGGAAAGGAACTGCCTTTCACTTTGCAATAACAATGGCTTGAGATGGAGTTCACACTCTCCAGAAGAGTATGCAAGGACTGCCACATCTTTAACTCACAATTTCAGTCTGTTTCCTTACTGTCAGCCTCCTGCAAAAGACCATCTGGTGAATGTCCATAGAACGCTTACAGGTATTTACCTGGAGGATGGAGAGAAACTTGCAAGAAGGGCGCACTTGAAAGAAAGGGCTCTAGTTGGGCAAATTATTATTATTATTTGTATTCCTGAGCCTGCCATATTGTTTATGCCTCTGTTTTGTTGCTTACTGCTTTCTATCACTGCAGAGAGTTTGCTCATGTCCTTTCCACCATTCAGTATGCAATTCAAATGTCTCTTCAAAACTCTTCCTGACACACTTGTGGAATGAGCTGTGCCCCTTTCTGGGGTTCCCATGGCACTTTGTCCGTAGAACATTAAACATGCAATATTATGATGATGTGCTGTATCTGTGGTCCTCTTAGCCACTAGACTGAGTCCCTCAAAGACAATAGTAAAAATCTTATTTTTTTCAAAACTTTTCACCCCTTGCTGTTGACCTGATTTAGTCCCTCTTTAACAGTTGTATCTCGATATTATTTCTTGAAGCAAGTTACTCTATTTACTTTTAGTCATATTTATTTGAAGAGTTTGGCCCTCAGGACAGGCATGATCCACCCCCCTCCCCTTCATGGGCTTACAGATTCTCAAGAGAGCTGGTCCCTCATTGGCTTTAGAATTCACTTTTGTCCTAGTCAGG